GAATATACTTTGTTCTCAAATAAAAGAAGACCCTTTTTCTTGTCAATTTTGGTTTTATTTTAGTTTTTAATTTGGCTGACAATTTTCAAAACGTATGAAACATGCCTGAATTTATATACATTTGACTCAATTTTTTATATGTCCTTATTCTGTTTTTTTTTCTTCTATTTCTTTTCTGGAGAATTTTCTGTTTTCATCTGACAGTTTTCTGATTTTTTATTCTTTTGAGGAACACACTGACATTAAAAAAAGAGAGCAAGATATACAGAGTGATATAAAATGACGTAGGTGCTCGATGATATACCTATGTTGTTAAGAAGGCTTTGAAGAAAAAATGGTAAAAAATCCCTGCATCAAACTTTTGAAAATATTCAACGTCAAAGTTGAAAAATTAACTTGATAATTTTCATTTGTTTTAACGAACTACTGCCTAAAATAGACAGCTGAACAATCAGTTATTAATAATTTATTAATAATTTGCCAGAATATGATTCATCTCATTTTTACTGTTGACAGATATCATTTTTGACAATTTATATCGGAATTTTAGATTTTCGTTTGAGTTAATTCTTCAATTTTGAAGTTTAATGTTTTCAAAAATATGATCCACAGATTTTTTAAGCATTTTTTTCGAGTGCGGCAGAGTCTTCTTAACAACGAGTTAATAGTAATAATACAATACAGGCTATTCTATTTGAACAAACTGAAATATCGATATTTGATATGAGAATTCTAACGTTTTATTTGAATTTAGAAAAAATCGTCGCGACGGAATTTCAATAATAAACTATGGTTATAAAGCTTAGGAAGACGCTATTGACAATATGAAAAAATATATAGGGTGTTCTATTTATAAAACTAAGTTATACCTATATTGTGCCTCAAAAACAAAACACTCTGTATAGTCGACAATAATTTTAATATATTCTATTCAAGCAACTGTACAACTTTAGGCTCTCATTTTTTTCTATCCTTAATAAGTAGTGTGCGCTGACTTCTATCTTCCCTTTGGTTTATTTACACGGAAGTACTATCTACTATTATTAATATTACTTATCTACACAGTGTCTCACCTAAATTTAACTCAAAAACACATACGTTATATCTTACGTCCAGATTGTGACGATAAGTTAAAATTCTTAATTGACACTGTAATTTTAACAACGGATTTGTAAAAATCACAGAAGTCTGATTACCGTGATATAACGTATACTTATATATTTACTTGATTATATAACCAAAGACCAATAAAAATCCTCTTTTATCTTATCCTGGCTGTTTCCTTCTTTCCTTGTTATAAGAAGATAGACGATGTGAAAATACGTTGCTCGTCTAGTGCCAACTTGAAGACGTTTTTTGTTGATCACATGTTATAATTGTCTAATTTAACTAATTGCAAAATATTTTGAATCTATTCTTTAAAGACCTAACGAAACGAAAAATTATTTTAACATTCCATATAAATTATTATTCATTAGAATTTTGTTTGTCGTTGCTTTAAGTTCAAAGGGTACTAAACTGCGTTAACTTAAGTATATTTACGTAAGATTACGATTCAAAAAAATAGATCAATAAATAACTTCTGAAGTAACACATTTATTTGACACATTTATATCGATATTTCATTTTTAGTTATTTAATAAAATAACATGTAGAAATGAGGAATAATTAAACGGAATGAAACACAAAATTTTCGAAAATGTTCTCGGCTTGAATGCTTCGATTTCACTTTATTATTATTGTTATTAAATTCATAATAGATTTCAGATACCTATTAATGTTTTGAAAACAGACTAACAAAATTAATCTAATTTAACGCCAAACGAGCTTTTTTATCGTTTTGTGCATGAGTTCAAGATTCGCGTTTTTTAAAGTGTTGCTTATGTTATGCTTTTTGACCACACTTTATATGACATGAGACGTCTGGCCCTGCGACCGATTGCTTTGTATAATGAACAAAAGTATTTAGTCTCTTGATTTTAGCAAACAAACTATTCAATAGGTACAAGCACAGAAACGTTATTGAAACGATGAATAGAATCGTAAATATCGTTAAAATAATAGACTTTCGGACCACCCTTCACCTGTCGCTGTCTTTTCATCACTTGTTCTGGCGCTATTTACCTCAAATTTGCTTATTTACAACACCGGAAAACCCCGCACCTTTCTGCAAATCGGCTCAAAACCCAACAAAAGCATTATAGTTAAAAACCCGAATCCGTCTGACGTCGTTGTCACAACACGGATGACTTCTACCTGATCGCCACCCCGTCTAGACCGTTCCCAAAGCCCTAAAAATGGAATTCTTCGCACTGGTCAAAAGTCATGCAACGACCGACTTTACCTGCTCCACGCAATTGCGCTCTCCTCAACTTTTCGAGCTCGCAACCGAAAAAAAGGCGAAAAAAAGAACAATGCAGTCGGATGCTATTGAAAGAGACAAATCAGTTTAGAAAGGTTATCTGTCTATTCTTCTGCGCAGATGAGAGATAAGGGGTTCGTCGAGGGTTGGGGTCACACCGAGGGTGCGTCATTACACGAATTTCCAGCGGCATTATGTTATATAACCCGAAACTAGAAATTTTCTCCAGGTGCGGTTCAGGTGGTGGAGGTCCTCCGGGATGGCTCCTGTTACAGGAACTGTCGTCTGGTTTCGGCGCGCTGGTACGCCCACGACACCTCGCCAGGTAAAAACGCCGCCACAATGGGTTTATGGGCGAATGGGGGAAATTCGCAATTTACGAGAAAGAGTACCTGCAATATTTATTAGGGAAGTTCTCGCTTAAACAAGTAGAACCGACCTTGACAACATCTGGACGCAGGTAAAATATTCTGATGTTTACATAGCTATTTTCACACGGCCGTTTGGAACGTGAAGTTTGCAAATTGCTCGAAAAGCGTGAATGACGTTTCGGAACTGATATGTTTATTTAAAGGCGCTTAAGGGGATGTTTTTATTTTTCGAAGGGACGGTCGGAGGAAGGTCCGACTTTTGACGGACTATCCGATTATTTGGAGACGGGTTGTTGCACTTGTACGGAGGCTCACTTAAAATATTTTGCTACTACCACAACCCAAACAAAAACCTGCATTCAACCGACGTTTCACACTTTAAAATTACGTTAAAGCGTCCTTTCAACGAAACCAGTTGTAATTCTGGCCAAATTAATTTAGGTACTAGTTCCACAGTTAAATAACGTTGTAAGAGTAAGCATACATTAACTGTTGAGCTTTTGTGACGCATCTTTTAATACTTACTTATTGTTGATTTTTTGTTCTTTCATATTTTTAATAACATGCAGTTTATGTTGACTTACAATGAGGATACTTCAGTAAATAGGTGAACTGTGTTGAAATTAATATTTCTGATATTATTGATGATTCCGTAAAATTATATGTTCCCAAAGCAGGTATAGGTCTTAGATTGTCATATTATTACCTATAATATACAGTACATTTACAAATTTATTATTATTTATTATTTATTTTTATAACAAATAATGTTTCGTATTTGGACCAACCAATCTGGGCCGGGGTTTGTTGACTACGTATAACAGATAAGTAAACGGACAATTAATGATTTCTTTTGGTTCTAATAAAAAAACTGGTATATTTTCGTCGTTTCTCATAAAACAGTCTGCGAAAAAGATTTGCTTGTTTGCACTAGTTATACGAAATAAAAAGTCAAGAAACACAAAAACTTAATTAAAACCAACTCTCTACTTCACAGTGTTCACAGACTAATCGATATTACTCTTGATTAATTTTCACGCAGTGAGAATTTAATTGCGGACAAAGTCTTCTTGATTATAATAGTTAAGACAATGAGACGTGGAAATTTTTAAAAATATATATTTTTTATATTGTTTGCACAACACAGAAAAACAAATTTGGAGAAAGTAAGTAACCCACAGCTCCAACTTTAAAATTTATGAAAAGAAAGCTGTCTGTCGAAAAAGCTGTTACCAGAGTTTTTTAACTTTGTGTGTGGAAAAAATGTAGCCCGGATTCTTACACGTCATATATGAGAGTGTATTTTACGTATTTAGAAAAAGGTTTCTGTTTACGCGCAGGATTCAAAACGAGAAGAATACCAGGCGCTGAAAAATATACCTGTCTAGACGAAGCGTCTGTCGGAAAAACGCAAAACAAACAAACAATAACAGACCGTAGCTGCATTATGCATACGTCTGTGGAAATTTCAACACTGCTTACCTAACCGATAAATTAGCAGATATTCTTTTAAACAACATTCTACTAATAGGTATGTAAAGCATCGGAACATCGCGAATCGAATTAAAATACCATTAGGGAGCCGGCGATCGAGATCCCGGAATCCGAGCACCGCTCCGTCGCGAACGTCCTGTAGGATAATCATCGCAGCCACCTCGCCTCCATCAGGTGGTCTTTCGTCCGAAAATCGGGGCGATGCGAGGATCTCGCGCGGGCCGATATTATAAATTTACCCCAGCGGAGCAGCGTTTCGGACAGCATACATATGTATAAGGTGCAACTGCTAATGCCCCATTGTATTGCAAATTCCATGTTAATTTCACTGTGGCACAAGCCAACTATGATTTGTGTACGCAACAGGTGACTTTTGATCGCACAAATTAACTTTTTCGTGGTGGCTGCAGAGGGACGACGGGCGGGGCGGGGCGGGTTTTCGATTTTTTCCCGTCGCAGGGATTTTCGGTCGTTAATTGGGGAATTTTCGTGTCTTTTGGTCAATAATGTTCCGTCGCGTCCGGCGGCGTATGTGAGTCGTGCACGGTCTGTTGCCTAGCTACCGTGTCCTGCCGAGTGTAAACATTTCCCCTCCGAGGTGGGGGCGAGCTGCGGGGCGGGCTCGCGCGCGCCGCAGCCAACCGTTCGCGAGGTGCGCGTGACGTCACGTCGCGACGACGAGTGAGGCGCTACCAATGGCGCGCGCATTGGGAGGAAGGGCGCCGGTGGAGGGGGAAAGGAACAGCGGCGGCGAGCAGAGTTCGCGTTGGGTCTGTAGTAGATGCAGAGTCGCCGTGCGGAATGCATAACGCATGAGAGCTGACCATTTGCCAGTTTTTTGGTTTGTTTAAATGACATTCCGTGGTCGGTGGCGGCGCTAACGGCCGTGGATCCAGTGCGTGTGTACGACGGTGGCAAAGTGTACGAGCACGAAGACAGTGTGGACTCGGTGGTTGGGCGGCCCTTGCAGGGCATGGCGGCCACGACGTACCTTCCGGCGAGTAGTGCGGTAAGTGCGGACCTGGACGGCAGCGTCGTAGGGATGAACATAGTCGGGGGCTACCACGCCAGCGCCTCGCCCCGGTCCGCTGCGGACGCCAACGAGATGAAGTATTTGCCGCAGCATCACCACCACCACAACCACCACATGGCGAGTTCGCCGTCGCCCGGCGGCCACGCCGCCGTCTCGTTGTCCGCGACCAACCCCTGGGTGAGCCTGCAGCCGGGCGCCGACCCGTGGGCCGCCTCCATGGCGGGCATGCACCACCACGCGCACCACCACCCGCACCAGGACGTCAAGCCTCTGGCGCAGCAGGCCGACATGATGCACCACCGCCAGCAACAGCAACAGGGGATGGGCTCGCCGCACGCCTGGCACGCGCCCGTCTCCTCGGCCCATTACAACCCGGGCGGGGCCGGTTCGCCGCTCCAGCAGTACCATGCCGCCATGAACGGCATGCTCGCCCACCACCAGCCGCCGCAGATCCACCACCCGCTGCACCGGGACATGCAGAGCCCGCACCACCCCCAGCACGCCGACCGCGACGTCAGCGGCGGCGAGGACGAGACGCCGACGAGCGACGACCTGGAGGCCTTCGCCAAACAGTTCAAGCAGCGTCGGATCAAACTGGGCTTCACGCAGGCGGACGTCGGGCTGGCTCTGGGCACCCTCTACGGCAACGTCTTTTCGCAGACCACGATATGTCGGTTCGAGGCGCTCCAGCTGAGTTTCAAGAACATGTGCAAGCTGAAACCGCTGTTGCAAAAGTGGCTCGAGGAGGCCGACTCGACGACGGGTTCGCCGACGTCGATCGACAAAATCGCGGCACAAGGGAGGAAGAGGAAAAAGCGCACGAGCATCGAGGTGTCGGTGAAGGGCGCCCTCGAGCAGCACTTCCACAAGCAGCCGAAGCCCTCGGCACAGGAGATCTCGTCGTTGGCCGACAGCCTGCAGCTCGAAAAGGAGGTGGTGCGGGTGTGGTTCTGCAACCGGCGGCAGAAGGAGAAGAGGATGACGCCGCCGAACACCCTCGGCGGCGAGATGATGGAGGGAATGCCGCCGGGAGGGCACATGCACCCCAACTACGGCCACCACCCCGACATGCACGGCTCGCCCATGGGCCAGCACTCGCACTCCCACAGTCCGCCCATGCTGTCCCCGCAAGGCATGGGACACCAGCTGACGGCGCACTAGCATCCAGCCCACTGGGCCTCCTTGCTGCACCACAGCGATAACGGCTAGTGATCGTGAACGCCGCCCCCAAGTGTGTTTGAGAAAATTAAAAAAATGTCGGCCGACGGCGCGTGACTGTTCCGTTTATTATCAACGCTACCTCAAAAAAGGATCCGTGCTTAAACTCCTGCCGTCGCGGAGGTCCTAGTGGACTGACTTTTACACCCCCTGCAAGAACTAGTTTATACTATTATTAATAATATTTTTTGTTGTTGTTAATGCGCCGTGCAGTGCGAGTGAGTACCTTGTCATCGTCAAAAACTAACTCTGGACGTGTGTTGTATATTACCTGTAAATAAGAAGAGTGATACGCGTCGTTCGACGTGAGTGTAATATAATAATAGGCGAATGCTGCTAATCTTACGTTTTTGTAAATAAGAAGAATCGACTACTGTTGGAGCAGTAGCAAAGTCGTGATTTATACTTAAAATATACACCGGGACGGTTGACGAATAAAACAATTTACGATGTAAGTTTATAATGTATAGAATGTCGTATATATTTAAAAAATATAAAGTTGTTCTTATGTTGTTTATTAAAGTTTTTGGTTAGTGTCGTGCGATCCAGTTGATGACTCTCTTGACTTTTATTTTTGGATGATAACAAAAACAAATTCTTGCGAACGAATAACGAAACCGTACTCTTGTCTCTTTGGTCATAGATTCATGTGTACATATTTATTATTATAATTATAATTAATTATATATCGTTGTACGGTGTGACTAAATTAAATCGAAAAATGTTTTTAAAATAGCCCTCTCTGCTGTATTATTTCAATCGTACCCTCGTTATGTCGCTTGAATCATTAATCCATCGTTCATTTCTAGTCAGTGATTTTAAAAAAATTATTTCCATCACGAAATTGTGTTGTGGTGCGACGGATCATCTCATACCTCTCTCGGTGAGTCCTCTTTTTTTACTACTACTACTTACTACTGTTACTACTGTTCGTTTTCGTTGTGTTTTCGCGCGTTCTCGATAAAAAATTAAAAAAATTAAAAAAAAAATGAAAAAAAAGAGGACCCACGCACTGTACGCGTACAGGTATGACTCTGACATTTGACCGGAGATACGGCGATTATCTTTGAATCCCATGTTAAGCACTTTATCAAATATTTCTCAGACACATGTGACAAACACGGTCCATAAATATGCTAAATTATATGACAGTGGTGTGTGTTAATCAACGAAATTTCTGCTATGTAGAAACACGTTCAGTTATACGATCTCGAAACCTGTTTAAGCAGTTATTTGAGAAAAAATCCCCATTTAAAACGACCATTATTAGTTGAGTTGATAGCTAATGGACATAAATTTCATCAAAAAACCATATAATAACGCAATCCCCGTAGAGATCGTTTCCAAATTAAAAGTTTTGTACGCCTCGATAGTTCCTTGAGTTTCGTTCTGTTCGTCTTTCGACAAGCAACTGTGTATAAAGATGTTTTTGTAAAAATCCAACAATGTTTACTGTATTATAGAGAGAGAGGATATTTGTGTATATTGTATTTTTATCAATGTCCAAAAATAAAAATCAATAAAATTAGACACTGTTTATAAATTGCTCTTTTATTTTCTTTTTCTTTCGATAACCTCGGAATTAATCACGGCGCCCTTATGGACTCGACGTTGAGATTTCAATCAATTATTCCGACCCACATGCCGAGGAAAAAACTCTTTACACTTCGCTCCACAAATTAGATTGATTGGATAATAATACTGCACTTTTTACGGTTTCGCCGCCGTCAGATGGCGTCCTCATGCCTTTAACGCGCCACCCCCGTCAAGGTAAGTGAATCCTTCGACGATTTGAATAATCCATTGTTCGATATTTGCGCAAATATCGCTTACATTGTATTTTAATGTTGACACAAGCCGTACGTCCGAACTGCGCCGAAAAAAGCGCTCGCGATCATGCCGAACTAAATTAATTTAAAAATCGTCCGTTGCTGAATTAATTATAATCTAATTTAAATAACTTAACGTCAATCAAATTTCGTTCGGCCGCCGGCACTCGACTCCGGGGCTTAAAAGGCCCAAACAGAGGAAAGGTGCAATCGTTGCCGGGGTTGTATTGTGGCGAGGGGAAAAATCGAACGGATTTGCATAATTGTGTGTACGGTTTGCTAGTGAAATGTTTTTAGGATCTTTGTCTGTTTTGTTGTTTGCTCGAGGAATTAGCGAGTTTAAGGAAACTGTTTGGATGTTGTCATTGTTAAATTTAATAAGTAAATGTAAGAACAAATATTCGACATGTGTTCTGACCACAAAAAAGCGTAAACACGAGAAAAGGTGAGAGGAGGAGTTTTACGGCCCCGACTAGATACGAACGATTTGGCTTTTTAATTTAAACGTTTGCTCAAAATCCATTAATCTCTCACACCTACTTTTGAGCAATATTTTCACTTTGTTTAACTTGAGCAATATTTTATCGAGTGTTAAAACAAAACTAGTAGTTTGTTTTCGGACGACGTAACACCGGTGTTAGCAGTTTAGAAATGTGGTGTTTTTTTTTTGGGCGCTAGGACTTTTCCATTGTGCCGTAGCCATCATGTCGGCTCCAGAAACATTGTTTATTGCCGCCGTTAAGCTGGTTCTAACGCTTTGTTAGTTCTTTTTATCGATTGTCGCTGTCCTACATTATTCCTGTTAATTAAATGTGAAGTCGGTACGTGTTCGTATTTATTGCATTTTTTGAATTCACTGAACCCATATACGATGTTACAAGGAAAGGTTTCGCCATATATTTCATTATAAGAGTAATAAAAAATGCCGAAGAAAATTTATTATCGAAAACAAGGATCGAAATTAGACATTTTACGACCGTGTTTAATACATTTTTACCAATTTTATTACGTTCGTAGCAATTATTTAAAGCCTCTGTGTAGTTTTTATTATTTTTCTTCGTGTACCGGGAAGACGGTGTGGGAATCGTCGTTTCTAAAACTACTACAATTTGAACCCGACTAGTTTCATTACATGTGAATCACGAATGTACTATTTGTTTGTGTTAAGTATACTTATTCAATTGCTTTTTTCCCGGTGACTGATTTGTAAAAGGTGTTTTTACATTTACGTGAGTTAAATATCAGGTTTAACTTTGTACAGAGTTTATTTACTCGCTAATGGCTCCTACGGTTTCTCTGGACTTTATACGTGTATGATTAGAAAATTAATTTTATTGACTCGTAGAAGCAAAGAAAATTAAACGCACTCGAACACTGATTGATACACAAATTCTTCTGGAAAACGAAAGTCTGCGGTAGAAATTATTAAACTCAATCATAATTTGTTAAAAATGCAGGAGAAATGTTTCCTTGTTGGTGAATGTGTAGAGGAATGTCGAGTGCGTGAAAAAATTTTTCAGAATCGGTTTGTTTATGAAGGTGAAGTTTTTACAATTGTTTTATGCAAATTTTAGTTCTACTTAAAGGAAAAAGATCAATATTTGTAACTACAAAGTATACAGGGAGTGATTTAAGATGTAAGAAGACAAAGACAAACATCAACAAATTTTATTAACTCAAATACAAACAAACTTGACAGATTAGACGTTCTTTTTTAGTATGTGATTTATTTCTAGAAATATATAAAAACCAAAAGAATAATTTTTTACAATTTTTAAATCCACTAGTGGTAAAGAAAGTTTCGTAACTATTTATACTTACAAACACACCTAAATGAATTTTAAAAAACTAAAGCTATAGAGAGCGTTAAAAATATATCTAAGTTAAAAAAAGTTCCAGGAAAATCGGACTTTAATAATATTTTTTTTACAATGTTTGTCAACTAATATTAAATTTTAACATTCTACAACACCTTATCTAATTTTGCCGTACCGTCAATTTGTTTATAAATTTGATTTTTAAGTAAAATATAACTGCATTTACAAATTAAGTAAAATTTATGATATTATTTTCATTTCTTAGGTATATATGAATATGATATACCTACTAAAGGTAAGATAAGAAGATGTAGTCAGAGATATACAAACTGTGAGTTTTAAGATTTAATTTAATCTGATTTTTAAATAATTTATTAACGTACCTACATTTGTTTTATACCGACTAAGATTGCATTGGATTTCTAAATTAATTCTAATTTAAGTTTTAGACTTGTAGTATAGTTTATTTAGTTTATTTTATCCAGTACTGACCAGTAAGACAACACATTTTAGTTGACCACCCTATATGTTATATAGGGGACCTTTTATTTCATATGTTGCCTGACTTAATCACGATTTAACATATTATTACAAAAATTTCGCTCTTATTGTTACAAACTTAAATATTAAATTATTAAATTTAATTTGTTTTAATCTTGACCTTACGTAGTGTTAAAATAAATCTCATTCTTTTTAGTATTCTCTCAACAATTTAAATTTTTGCTACCACACACAGCCAGATGAATCTAGAATTAAAAATGTGACAACACTTGGATATAAATCAATAAACTTAAAATGAAAACGTGTGTTTAAAAAGAGGACTTTATTTACAATTCTTCTTGATGCCTATTCTTTTGCTACACACAGTATTGTAAAGACACCTATTATTATACGCCATGAACACACTAATGTATACTTATAAAGTGGGTCATTACTGTTAATTTTAACGATCCTTCAGAAGCACTTACTCAGTGTTTAAAAGTGATGTTCCAGTTTCTAGAATTTTGAAATACGTGATTAAAAAAATGTGGGAACTAGACATTTACTTAAACAAACTTAAGATGGTGCTTATTTTTGAGAAAACAGCAAAAGAAATTTTTGGTAGTTTTTACAAAATAATTTGATGAATTTTGTATGTTACACTTTTTGGCTAAAAACATAGACGCAAAAAATACGAAAAAAACATGCCCCGGATTGTGCTTTAGAAAATGCACATTATTTTGAAAAAAAAAGTGCAAAAACAGTGTTAGTGGGCCACTTTTTCCTCAAATCCAAATTCGTCCACAAACGTACTTCAAACCCGGGTAATTTAATCAGCATTAGCGTTTATTGACGTGTGCAAAATCGCTAAATACCTGCATCGGTCAGTGAATGAGATTAAATTTTTGAATAAACCACCAATCAAAAAAAGCTCGGTACAGAAGAGCTTAAAATGCCTGACGGTGTTTAAAAGCGTTACGTTGCACTCTTATCAAAAACAGATTTATAATTTCGCTCGAGCCCGAATTTTTGTAGACCTCTGCGAAGAATTTCAGCGGAATCCGCTGCATCTCCTGATGAACACCTGCGTTCATAAAATTCATAAACGGCATAAAAACTTAATCGATGTACATGTGGCAAACGTGATATAATGTAACTTTTTAGCAACAACAATAAAATAATCAATAATTTATAGGTTTAAAAATGACAAAGTAGTCATGAAAAAGCCGTAAAATTAATTACCTCTTTGATGGGACAAATAGAAGCTGCGAGTAGCGCAACTATCCAACAAGTGAGCTCGCTTTTATGGCCACTATTTGAATAAAATTCTCTTTAAAAATCAATAAATCACCTGCAGAAGGTTAGAAACTCCACATTTCACCGATCGATACCGAAGGGCGCGGATTGGAAGATCTCGTTACGAAATCTTCTATTTCTTCACTCGTGCAGACATGTGTTTCATGTCGAAAGATTCCTCCGCTGTTAATTTATCGGAGAAGTTTGCGTAATTTTCGTCTAGGTAAGCACAAGTCCCGATCACATCCAGTAATTGCCGGTTCTTGACGTTTATAATAACAAGATAATGGCTGCATAATTCGTTTATGAAACTTCTAAGGCCCACGATTCGGCCTGGATCATCATGAAAATGCCCAATCGAGAAATTTGCATCAATTGTCTGGGAATGATCGAACAATGCAGTGTTACCAACCGCATATTCAAAGAGGCATTAGATGAATTATTCCGGACTTTAGGCTATATCAATTATTAGAAGAATTCCAGACGGTATTAATCCTCTTTTTTCCACTATTTCGTCATTTGCATTCGATTTTTCGCCTATTGCTATTGCCGCAAATATTTTGATTGTTTAGCCATTACGGTAATTTGAACCGATTAAAATGCCTCAGCGTAGGGCATAAATTAGAAAATTACTTTAGACTAAATTCATAAGCTTATAATAGCTGTAGCATGATCGAATGTGCCACATCTTTAACTGCAGTGTATGCAAATTTTCGTGACTTTTGCCAAACTGGTATTAAATTCTTATTAAAGTGTCTGTCGAATTTTGAAATTTCCATACAACCAGGTTACTCAATCTAGAGAAAATAATCAAAACTTTGCTATGACCAGATTTCTTATCATTGATCTGATTTATTGCTGTTTTATTGATTCATTTTCGTTAATTAGGTAACTTAATTCGAATGATTTTAGAAATTTTTGACCAATAATAGGAGTGTAAACTTTTCTATACTTTTCTCCGCAGTATACTTATGCCACCAATATGAATAACAAATTAAACAAATTAGTATTAAAACGGTATCTCGATTTTCTATGCGGGCTACGTCATACAGTGTGTCCATAAACTTTGAAATAAATTCTATAAACAATTCAATGAAATAATTGTTGTAACTGATTGACTT